TGTATGTATTAGACCATTATAACAATTTTAATGTAAATCTAAAAAAATGTTTATAAACTTAATGTAAAATAAAAAATATAAAATAAAATCACATTTTATATATACATATTGTAAATATTTTTATCAACAAATGTTATTTATATATTTTAGATCCCGTTTTAATATAAAAATATATCTAATATATATATATATATATATATTATATGTACTATTAAATAATATATAATTTTTAAAAATAAATTAATTACTTTTATTTTATAAATAGTAAACATTTTTTTTTATTTTGTTGGTTAAATTATGCCAATTATTATGAAATATTATGCTTAAAAAACATTACTGTAAATATAAATTAAATACATATAATGTATTTTTTAAATAACCGTAAAATTTTTATTTGACTATTTAGTCAAAACTAAATTTAATGTCAAATTTTTAAGACAATTATTAATCAACATTTTAAAAAATATATGAAATTTAAAATTATTATTATAAATATAATAAATAATTATATATTTTCTTACACTAATAGTATACAACATTGATAATCAAATTTTATGTTTTTTTTGTCAATCAAATTATATTTTACTATATTTTTATAAATAATTATTATAATAGTTTAGTTTAAATATGTATATATATATATGTTTTTAAATAGTAAATCAATCAATAATATTTAATTATAGTAACTGGCAGTCAAAATAAATTTATTTTAAAACATTAAAAGTGACACAAAAATATATTATATATATATATATATAATATGTATAAATATATTTTGCACTGTAAACACATAAATATTTAAAATACAGTAAAAATTTAATGAATTATATATCAATATAATTGATTTATTGAATATTCATTGTTTTAAATACAACAAAAAATATTATTATTACTATTTGTTGTTAATATTATCAATGATTTACAATCATTGGCTAACATTGAAAATATATTATTTGAGAAAAAAATATATACTTTTTATTTAGTAATTGACTTTAAAAACTAGTTTTCAATTTTTTTTAAACTTTCTATTAATAGTTATCACTAAAACAGTCACATATGTTAGCAATTAATTATGAAATTTTTAAAATTGAATTTACATTTGAAAAAACATACAAAAATGCATTATATTTAACAAATAGTTTATGAAAAATATTTTCACTACAAAAATGTCTTTAAAAAAATTATTCACACTATTTTGTAATTAAGTGAAAAATGAAAAATAAAATAAAAATAAATTGTAATGTTTTAGTATAGTATATAAAAAATTTAAAAAATATACAATTAAATATATTTAAAAAAAATTATATAACATTTTATATTTTTTTGGCATATAATTTTAGTGTATATGCAACCAAAAAAAAATAATGTAAAAAATATACTAAAATATAGTTATAATACTATATAAAAAAAATAATTTATTAATTTATTGTATAACATATCTTTTAAAAATAAAAATATAAAACTTTAATATACTATAATTAATTAAGATTTAGATTACAGTATATCTTATGATAAATTTTTTATTTAAAATAAAATATATATTTATAGCTATACTGTGTGTGTATGTGATATCAAATAACATTTTTATTTCATTCAACAACAAAAATATTAAAATATTTAATTAAATTCAAAAAACAAACTGATTGACTGATAATATCGGTGGTAAAGGAGTTGGCCATCAAATAGGACCTACTATTATGTGTACATCCAGTTCCCACTTTATGGCCGGTTATGTGGAGGACGTCTATCATATATCTCATTCATAGCTACCGTTTTTTTAATGGCTACTATCTCTCTGTCTATCATCAGTTAATTAATTAATTAATTGAATAAATAATAATATAAATTATTTTGAAAAACGATTTTTTTTTCGTTAAATATAATAAAAACAATTTTATATAAATTTATTTATTCAAAATTATTTAATTATTATTTAATAAATGCAAAACATATAAATTGTAAATTATAATTATATAATATATAATTATATAATATAATTATAAATTGTTAATATATTTTTTTTTGTAATTTCTAAATACAGTTTAAAATAAATATTTATAAATTTAAGTCAATAATATATTAAAGTTTTTAATTGTTTTGTTTTTTTAAAAATATAATGTAGAGATATTTACTATATTTATAGTAATATATATATATATACTGTATATATATATATTAATAATATAATATTTATTGTATATTTGCAAATAAAACTATTAGTTTATCATTCAATATATAAATATATCTATTAATCTAATTAAAAAAATATTTTTATAAATCTTAACAACAGTTTATGAACTTAATAAAAAAAACTAAAAACTAAATTAAATTTTATATACAAATTGTAAACATTGTTAATATCAGTAAATATTATTTATAAATTTTTTGATACCGTTTTAATTATTATTATTATATATATATATATATATATATCTATAATAAACAGTAGGTGTAATGTTATATAAAAAACATTTTCAAAAAAAAAAATTAAATAAATTACTATACATTTTAATTTTTAAAATAAAGTAAACATGTTTTTTGGGGTTAAATTATTATAAACTTTTATTATTATTATTATTATTTATATTAAACGATAAACTCTATTTTAATTAAATATTTATTTATTTTAAAGAAAAAAATCTTTATATAAATAATTCAATTGACTTATCAATTGATGGCACAGTTACCCAAATTAATTATTATCAATTTATGTTAAAAAAAGTCACCTAGTTTTTAGTTAATCTTGATTATATAGACTAATAATATATATATATAAACTTTATTTGTAAATTAATGATTAATTAAAATAATTTTTATATATCATTTAAATTGTATAAAAAAATAACATATTTAGATAACTATATTATACTACTAATAGATTAATATATACAGTATATATTATAAATTAAAATAATAATAATAATTATTATTATTAATCAATATGCTTTATTTTTATTTATCTTATTAGTTTAAAAATTATTTTTTATATAATAATAATACAATATAAAAATTTTCTTTTAAAAAAATCAAAACCTTGTAATATATTCATAACTAGAGTTCGGGGCAATTTAATAAGAGATAGGAACTTTCCATGATAATTTCCCTCAAATTATAAAACAAAAAAAAACTTACTAATTATTATTTCCAATCTTGCTTGTTAATAACTATAAAAAAAATATTTTTTAATTTTAATATAATAAAAAGTAAAACTGATTTAGAAATTTAATAGAAAATTTTCTATTTAAATTTTTTCAAAAAAAATAATAATATAAAATTACAAGAATATTAATAGAAACTTACTAGAAACTTACTATAAAATTACTACAAAAATTACTATAATATTACTACAAAAATTACTACAAAAATTACTAGAAAATTACTAGAAAATTACTACAAAAATTACTAGAAAATTACTACAAAAATTACAATAAATTTATTAATACAACTCAATATCGAAATTAGATATTTACTTACGATTGATTTACTGGTATTTTTCTAAACCACATTTTTTTGATAGATATAAAAATTAGATAAAAATAAAAAAAACTGTCTGGGAATTTCCAGATAGTAGGGGGGGTAAAATAAAGTAGGGAATTTGCCTGCATTATACATTTTTGTAAAAAAAATTGTTATCACCAAATCAATCATAATGTTAACAACCAAAAAATAATTAATTAAATTAATAAAGTTAATAAATCAATTTTTTTTTAATAAAATAAAATTTATTAAAATTTTAGTTATTATGATTATGAGCTTAACAATTTTGTTACAACACATTAATACTAATAATAATAATAATAATAATAAAAAACTTCATAATAAATAATTACTTAAGTTTTTTTTTGTGACTACAATTAGAGAAATATTAATTTTTTTTTAAATTTTATTTTTTTAATAATTATAAAGTATTTTTTTGATAGTTTATTCATAATTTCAAAAATTAAAAAAAAATTAAACAAATAGATATTTATTGTTGAAATTAGTTATTTTTAACTAAACTAAAAATATATATATTTATATAATAATAATAATTATTTACTAATAAATAATAATAAATATTTTATAACAAACTAATAAAATAATGTTTTCATAACAATATGTTTGACAAAATATGTGACACAAAATTATGGGTAAAATATTAATAGTTATTAATTATTATTATTTATTTATTTTTGATTACAAAACTTACTAATATTATTTGGTGGAAGTATAGGACCCGGAGCTTATGTGGAACACTACTAGTCCCATGTTTAGCACCTGTATGGCCGATACTTGGCTTGTATGGCTGCCGGCTACCTGTCTAACCGTATGCCTGTCCATTAAAATCATTACACTATGTTGTAATCGCCGATCGGTTAGACCAACAACACCAACAACAACACCGCCAACTATTGACTACAACTACTTCAATATTATACGACTGGCCATTGCCTGTCTGTTAGCTACGGTGACTGTAGTCGACTTGTTTGTCAGTCTATATCAGCTCAGATACTATCATCAATGGCTGGCCATTGATGATAGTATCTGAGCTGATATACACACCACCACCTCCACTACCAACAGTTGCCTACATTATCAGGACAGTCATACTAATAGCTACACGACTAGCCATAACCGTTGTTGTCTACCAGTACCGACTAAATGGTCAACACAGTTGCAATTGGTTTATATGGTTTTATCTATTAGCCGATACAGTGGCCAGTAGTCTAACAGTTTGGTCATACGCTACGGTCATACCATCAATAACTGCGGGACAACTACTAGTGATAACTATAGAGTTTTCATTGACTACCCTATTGTTAGTGTTTTGTTCAATTGCCGATCGTTTACCACAACGACAACAATTGTCAGCTAAAAGCGCCGACACCTTAACCTTAACCAACAACTGTCCAAAAGATAGTTCCGGTTTTCTATCGTTACTAACATTTCAATGGGTAGACAGTCTACTGTGGACTGGTTGGCAAAAATCGTTGACTATCAGCAATCTATGGCCACTACGATCGGACGATAGGGTCGACCAATTGATGGCCCAATTTTCTAGACATTATAAGACAACTACAACTACTACCAGTACTACTACTACTACTGGCGGTAGTAGTGTAGGAGTAGTCAGTAGTAATGTATTTACAGCTATTTTGAAAACTTTTTGGTCGACTTATTTGCCGTCAACACTAGCTTTCATAGTATTTGATACGGGAGTCATATTTAGCGCATACCTACTCAAGTATATAACCCAACCATTTATAAACCCAACCTCATAATTATAATAGTATTTTATATATATATATATATATATATTGATATATGTGTTATTAGATATTTGATTGAATTTACCGTCAATGATGATGAGCCCCAATGGCACGGGTATGTCTATGCAACAGCAATACTGGTGCTCAATATGATGGTTGCATTTGCCTACTCTATAAATGCCCAACAAATGACTGTTTTAGGTATGAAATGTAAAATTATCAAAAAAACAAACTATGTTATCATCAGGGGTTTTAAAAATAACAGGCATAAATAATAGATGCCTGTTTTTTGTAAATGCCTGCCCTTTCTATGCCAGAGCCTGGGCATTTATTTTTAGGTGGTGGTGGTGATACCTATTATTTTTTTTATTAATTTATTGATTTATTAAAAATATTGTTTTATCAATATATTTTATTTAGTTATAAACTTTTAATTATAAGGCATAGTAGCCTTGTAGTTGTATAAAGTTGTAATTAATTGTATTAATTTAATTAACATGGTAAAAAAATACTAAATTACTAAATAATATTTTATTAAAAATACAGTTGGCTTTTTTAGAAATTGTTAGCATTGTTAGGACAGGCATTTTAGTTACTTAAATCCCTGATTATTATATATATATATATATATATATAATATATATATGTTTAAAAAAATGTTTGTTTTATGTTTTTTTATAGGACAGCGTATAAAAACATTGCTAACCGGACTGGTCTATCGTAARGCACTGGTATTAAGTAATAGTGCCAAAAATCGTGAGTCAAATACCGGGCAAATAGTTAATCTAATGGCCGTCGATTGTCATCGATTTATTGGTATATACAGTATTATATATATATATATAATAATTTATTTTTTTAAAAAAATTAATTAATTTATTATTTTACTTTATTTATATTTTATCAAGGACTGTTATCGAAATTAAATTTTCTATGGACCACCATTATTCAGATAACATTGGCAGTATATCTACTATACACTGAATTAGGTGTGTCCATTGTTGCCGGTATCCTAGTACTACTGGTAGCTATGATGACCAATATATTTGTTGCCAAAATCAACGATAACTATATGTCCCGACAAATGTCTCACAAAGATCGCCGACAATTGATTACCAATGATGTACTCAATGGTATCAAAGTATTAAAAGTATTTTGTTTTATTTTTCTTATTATTTTATTTTAGATTTTTTTTATTATAGTTATTTAATAATAAAAACTAACTAAAAGATTTAATTAATATATTTAATTATAAATAATTTAGTTTTTTTTAAATGTTAAAACTTGATAATAATATAATATTACTAATATTACTAATATTACTAATATTACTAATATTACTAATATTACTAATATTACTAATATTACTAATATTACTAACATTACTAATATTACTAATATTATTATTAGATTATATAATAGTATTTTTTTATTTTTTTAAATATTTTAATAAATAATATATAAAGTTATATAGAAATCTATAGCATATAAAAATAATTATGTCAATATTAGTTAATTAATTAAATTATCAGATAATTATGTATATAAATAACGTTTTCAATTTATTTAATTATTTAAACTCCAAACCCATATACCCACACCCACCTAAAACACACCCACACCTAAAAAAAACACAAATAGCTATACGCCTGGGAAAAGGCATTCATCGATAAGATATTGCAAATACGCGGCAAAGAGTTGGGATTTTTACGGACAGCCGGCTATTGGTCGACAATATCGCTGCTGACATCAACTTGTCTACCATTTCTAGTAACATTGGCTACGTTTGGCTCCTATATGGCCATCGGTTCGGACACATTGGACGCCCAAAAAGTGTTTGTATCCTTGGCATTGTTTGCTAAGGTCGGGCATTCGGTTATGAATATGCCCGACACTATCAATGAGATAATAATTGTATGGTTTRWTATATATAWATATAAAACAATTATTATAATTATATACAACCTAATTAATTTTCAATAGTCAATAGTTTCAATTAATCGTTTAAACAAATTTCTGGATTTACCCGAACTAACCAATTATGTGACCAATAATATCGATACCATCGATGATGAGAAGGAGGACGAGGATGACAATCACCTAACGGTGCTTAGCATAGAAAACGGTTTTTTTACATGGAATAGCATGGAAACAATTCCCAATAATAATAATAATAATAATGATAATATAATTTTGCAAAATATTAATCTAAAACTAAGCGATGGCCAGTTTGTTGCCGTTATCGGGACAGTTGGTTCAGGTAAAAGTTCGCTATTGTCGGCAATTTTGGGCGAAATGGACCGACTGGGCGGTCAGGTTAACCTACGATCGGCAGGTAGTGGTATTAGTATAGCTTATGTACCACAGCAGGCATGGATCATGAATATGACACTCAGGGATAATATCAAAATGTTTGGTAACAATGATATCATCGACAATAACCAATATTATGGACAAGTGGTCGACTCGTGCGCACTAACCGACGATCTAAGACAACTGCCGGCCGGCGATAGGACAGAGATCGGCGAAAAGGGTACGAATCTGAGCGGTGGTCAAAAACAACGGGTAAGTCTGGCCCGGGCTGTCTATAGTCGGGCCGATCTCTATCTACTGGACGATCCACTGTCGGCAGGTATTTGGACGACAGAAAAAAAACATACCTTTATTTTAACTAAAAAAAAATAATATTAAATATAATTAGTGGACAGTCATGTTGGCCAACATATTATGCGCGAAGTACTGGACTCGCGGACCGGTTTATTACGCCGGAAAACACGTCTAATGGTAACCAATCAGTTGTTTGTGTTGCCGTTTGTCGACCAAATAGTTGTCATGAAATCGGGTAAAATCCAGTCAATCGGTTCCTACGATCAGCTAATCCAAGATAATGAAGATTTCAGACAATTATGGCAACAATATTCCTCCTCATCAGTAGTTGACAGTAATAATAGTGAAAACAATGATATTAATAATAATAATAATGATAATAATAATAATGATAATAATGATAATAATAATAATAATAAAATTACAACAACTGTCCCATTACTTGATGATGAATTGGTGGCCAAAAATAATAATAATACTGATAATAATCGGCTAATCGATGATGAAGTGGTCGAAACCGGCAAAATCAAGCCTAGGGTTTGTATTTAAAAATGATTTTTTTATTCAAAATAATAATAATAATTTACTTAAAATTTAATAAAATGTTAGATTTTTATTTTATTTTTTTTTTTAAATTATAAATTTATCCATAGATTTATCTCAAATACATCCAATCAATGTCAACCAGTTGGACAGTTATCCTAACCCTGGGCTATATGTTGGCCATTGCTAGCGAATCGGCATCGACTTTCTGGCTGAGCTACTGGAGTGATGATCCTGAAAGCTCGTCCCGTAAATCATACTATTTATTGGGTTATACATTGTTGGGTATATCGAAAATCTGTTTACTGGGCCTGTCGTGGACAGGTATTATCAGTACAACAGTATTGGCAGCCAATAGACTATATAAAACACTACTGTCCTCAGTAGTCAATACGTCGATGAGTTTTTTCGATACGACACCATTGGGTCGTATAGTCAACCGATTTAGCAAAGATATCGATATATTAGATACACAGATGTCGTCCACATTAAAGTATGTTTAACTGTATTTATGATTAAAAAAATCAAAACTAATTTTAATATATTTTTTTTAAAAAAATCATAAAACTTTACCTAAGATATACTGTATATTAATAGTATTGAACTTTTTTTTTAATTTTTTTTTGATTGAATGTAAATTATTAAAAAAAAAATTATTATGACATTCAAATAGATATCATATAGAAATATATTATATATAAATTTATATATTTATAAATATATATATATATATAGAAAAAAACATGTTTACGATATCTTGAAATATAATTAAAATTTGTAACAAAAATATATATATATATATATATATATATATATATATATATATATATATATATATATAGTACTTATATATATATATATATTCAGATATTTTTTAAATTATTTTATTATCAAATTAATTATTATTTGTATTTATATATTTAGTTTATTGATATACTGTTTGCTGGCATTATTGAACACACTTATAGTTATTACATTACAAACACCGTTATCATTGCCTGTAATAATCATATTGATTGTTTGCTATATATTTTTACAGGTAAATAAACCAAAAAAAAAAATAAATATTAATAATATTTTTTTAATTTATATTTTCAAAAAAATCTTAATAGAAATTTTATCTAAAAAATTCACGTCAATTAAAACGGTTTGTATTTATTAAAATAACAATAATTATTATTATTATTTATATATATTTTATTTAAATTAAATTTATTGAAAATATTTTTTTTAAAAACATTTATTCTGTGATACATTTTTCTACAATTTTTTTTTTAAATAAAAAAATATAACATTGAATATATAAATATATATAGATTAGAGATGACTACCCGATCGCCTATTTATACACATTTTAGCGAAACCTTGTCGGGTGTGTCCACAATACGAGCCTATGGTTGTCAGCAGCGGTTTATCAATGAATCGGACAGTCGGGTCGAAACCAATCAACGRTGTCTGTATCCAAGTGCTKCRGTAATGGGTTGGATAGTATTACGGCTGGAGTTTTTGTCGCATATGATTAACTATTCGGCCGCMATGTTTGCCGTACTGGCCAAAGGCCAGATTACGGGCGGATCGGTTGGTCTATCCTTACTGTATGCCGACACCATATGCTCATCGATGGATAATTTTGTACGTTTGTCGGCCGTATTGGAGAATAATATGGTTTCYGTCGAACGGGTGGACGAATATTCTGGCCTAAAACCAGAGTCCGACRACAGCAACGGCGCCGGCAATGACGGTAATGGCCAGTCGGCGGCGGCGGCGGATATATTGCCGGACAACAGCAGGGGATGTATAGAGTTTCGTGACTATAGTACCCGATATCGTCCGGGACTGGATCTGGTGCTCAAACATATCAATATTAAAATCAATGCCAAAGAAAAAGTAATTTTTTAATTTAATATATAATATTATATAATATTTATAACTATATTATACAGTAGTATTAAAAGTAATAGTGTATGTATTTTACACCCAAATTATACATTAAATTTCTAATAATGATAATAATTATTATTATTATTATTATTTAATTAATTTTTTTTTAAATTAAAGATCGGAATCGTTGGCCGAACCGGTTCGGGAAAGTCATCAATGAGTTTAGCATTGTTTCGTATCATAGAGTCAGTCGGCGGCCAAATACTAATTGATGGCACAGATATCAGTCGACTACCGCTACCAGAGCTACGATCTGGTCTAACAATCATACCACAGGAACCGGTATTGTTTTGCGGTACTATCCGTTCAAATTTGGATCCGTTTGGCCGGYACTCGGACTCAGACATATGGCAAGCACTGCACAGATCTCATCTCAAACCATATGTTATGTCCGGTAAATCGGGTGGACTCGACTACCCGATCACCGAAGGTGGCGATAATCTGAGTGTTGGTCAGCGACAACTCGTATGTCTGGCCCGTGCATTGCTACGGCAGACAACTGTCCTCGTCCTCGATGAGGCCACGGCTGCCATTGATTGCGAAACCGATCAACTAATACAGCAAACAATTAGGTCAGAGTTTTCCGCAGCAACTGTCCTGACAATAGCTCATCGGCTAAACACTATTCTAGACTCGGATCGGGTGTTAGTCCTATCCGATGGACAGGTAGTCGAGTTTGATTCACCAAACCGTTTGCTATCAGATAGTAATTCCGTATTTTATTTATTAGCTAAAAATGCTGGTATTATTTAAAAAAAATAAAAAAAAATTATTATCATTATTATTATTATTATTATTATATATACATTAATATTTTTTTTTATTTATCAGCATTTATATTAAATTAACTATTATTTTTTAGATTAAAAATAATAAAAACAAAACAAAAATATTGATATTTATAAAAATTTTGTTACTTAAAAACTTTTTTTTTATAAAATATTAATAACATTGTATTTAGTTTTTTTTGAGACTCTTTTTATTTAATAGAAAATTTTTAAAAAAAATATATTAGACTAAAGTATATATAAAATATATATAATTAATAAAACAAAATAAATTTATTTTGTTTTTTTAAAAGTTTAGTTTTCAAATAATTGATTTATTATTGAACTAACATTGAAAGTATATATTTTTATTAGTATAAAAAAATAAAAATTATATCATTTAGTAAAAACTAGTTTTCAATATTTGTTTGTTTAAAAAAAACTTATAACTAAAACACACACATATGTTAGCAATTAATTATGAAATTTTTAAATTGAATTTACATTTGAAAAACATACAAAAATGCATTATATTTAATAAATTTAATATTTAAATAGTTTATGAAAAATATTTTCACTACAAAAATGTCGTAAAATATTATTCACACTATTTTGTATTTAAGTGAAAAAAATAAAAATAAATTGTAATATTTTAGTATAGGATATAAATAAAAAATTGTACAATTAAATAAATTTAAAAAAATAAAATTATCTACCATTTATATTTTTTAGCATTTAATTTTAGTGTATATGCAAACAAAAAAAAATTAATGTAAAAAATATACTAATATATAATTATAATGTTAGATAAAAAATATAAATTTATAAATTTATTATATAACATATTTTTTCAATAAAAAATATATAACATTAATATACTATAATAATCAAGATTCACAATACAGTGTATATTTTATGATAAATTTTTGCATTTAAAATAAAATATATATTTATAGCTATACTATGTGTGTATATGATATCAAATAACATTTTTTTCATTCAACAACAAAAATATTAAAATATTTAATTCAATTATAAAAACAAACTGATTGACTGATAATATCGGTGGTAAAGGGGTTGGCCATCAAATAGGACCTACAATTATGTGTACATCCAGTTCCCACTTTATGGCCGGTTATGTGGAGGACATCTATCATATAACTCATTCATAGCTACCGTTTTTTTAATATCTATCCCTTTCATCAGTTAAATAAGTAATTAATTAAATAAATAATAATATAAATTATTTTGAAAAACAATTTTTTTTCGTTAAATATAATAAAAACAATTTTATATAAATTTATTTATTCAAAATTATTTAATTATTATTTAATAAATGAAAAACATATATAGATTTTTATAAATTGTTAATATATTTTTTTTGCTATTTTTAAATATAGTGTAAATAAATAAATAAATATTTATAAATTTAAATCAATAATATTTAATAATTGTGTTGTTTTTAAAAAAATCTTAGAGATATTTACTATATTTATAGTAATTTTTATATTAATAATACAGTATTATATTGATTGTATATTTTCAAATAAAACTATTAGTTTATTATTCAATATATAAATATATCTATTAATCTAATAAAAAAAATATTTATATATATATAAATCTAAACAACAGTTTATGAACTTAATAAAAAAAATTAAAAATTAATTACATTTTTATACAAATTGTAAACACAGTAACAAACACAGTAAATATTATTTATAATTTTTTTGATCCCGTTTTAATTAAATATATATATATATATATATATATATATATATATATCTATAATAAACACTAGGTGTAATGTCATATAATATACATTTTAAAAAAAATTAAATAAATTACTAAACTTTAAAATAAACTAATCATGTTTTTTAGGGTTAAATTATTATAAACTTTTATTAATTATTATTATTAATATGCGATAAACATTATATATATATAACTCTATTTTAATTAAATATTTATTTTATTTTTTAAAAATTGTTATATAAATAATTCAATTGTCTTATCAATTGATGGCACAGTTACCCATCAATACACAGACAAACATAAATATGCCATCCATTGGGTACCGACATGTTATATATAGTCAATGGGGAGACTGTACTGTATTTTATCAATTAATTATTATCTATTTATGTTAATAAAAAAACATTAGTTATTAGTTAACCTTGATTATATAAACTAATAAATTTTATATATATATATATATATATATATATATATATATATATATATATATAATATAATAAAACTTTATGTGTAAATTGAAGATTAATTAAAATATTATTTTATATCATTTAAATATTGTGTAAAAAATAACACATTTAGATAACTATATTATACAACACTCAGTCAGTAGTAGTAATCAAATAATAGGCAATTATATCATAAAACTAATGAAATTATAATACAATCAATAAATTTTCTATAAAAAAAAAATTCAAAACCTTGTAATATATTCATAGCTAAAGTTCAGGCAATATTTTTAAAAAAAAATAGGAAGTTTCCACAATAATTTCAATCAAATTATCAAGATAAATTAATAATTAGTAATAATTAGTAATTATTATTTCCACTCTAGCTTGTTAATATCAACAAAATAATAATTATAATTATAATATTTTTAAATATTAATATAATAAACAGTAAAATTAATTTACAAATTTTAGTATAAAATTTTTTATTTTTAACTATTTTTAGAAAATTACTAAAAATTCAAATAATTTTCTATTAATTATAATAATCTTCTAATAATAATAATAATAATCTTATAATAATTATAATAATTAATTTTTATTAATAATAAAAAATTTATTAATACTATTAAATATGTAAATTAGATATTTATATTTAGGTATTTTTTTAAAAAATAAAAAATATTTTAGATATAAAAATTAGATAAAAATAAACTGTCTGGGAATTCCCAGGGAATAATAGGGGGAAAAAATAAGGTTTGTAATTTACGTACATTATAAATAATTTTTTTTTTGTAAAAAAAAATTGTTATCACTAGTCATTCATGTTATACATCCACTCAATACCAACAACAAAAATAATGATAAAATTAATAAAGTTAATAACACTCAATTTTTTTAAAAATAAAATAAAATTTATTAAAATTTAGTTATTATTATTATTACTTAATGTTATTTTTTAAATTTTATTTTAACAATTTTGTTTAAAACATTAATACCAATAATAATAATAATAATAAAAACTTCATAATAATTAATAACTTTATAAAAATGTTAATCAATTAGTGAAATATTCAATTTTTTTAGATTTTTTTTTATATAATAATTATAAAGTTTATATTTGATAGTTTATTGAAAATTTTAAAATTAATTAAATAGTTATTTATTATTGTAATTATTTTTTTTATACTAATTGTGTAATTTATACTAATTGTGTAACATTTATTTAATAATAATTAATATTTAATTTAATTTTAATAACAAACTAATAAAATAATGTTTAATAACCATGTGTTTGACAAAATATGTGCCACAAAATTATGGGTAAAATATTTAATTATTAATTATTAGAATAATTAACCATTAATTATTATAATATTTAACTATTAATTATTATAATATTTAACTATTAATTATTATAATATTTAACTATTAATTATTATAATATTTAACTATTAATTATTATAATTAATATAATTGAATATAATATTAGATTTTTGTTCAAATTATAAATTTCTAATTATTATTAATATAATTGAATATAATATTAGATTTTTTTCAAATTATAAATTTATAATTATTATTATTATTTGGTGGAAGTGTAGGACCCGGAGCTTATGTGGAACACTACTAGTCCCAAGTTTAGCAATTGTATGGCCGATACTTGGCTTGTATGGTTGCCGGCTACCTGTCTAACCGTATGCCTGTCCATTAAAATCACTAGACTATGTTGTAATCGCCGATCGGTTAGACCATCAACAACAACAACACCGCCAACTATTGACTACAACTACTTCAATATTATACGACTGGCCATTGCCTGTCTGTTAGCTACGGTAACTGTAGTCGACTTGTTTAGCAGTCTATATCAGCTCCGATACTATCATCAATGGCCAGCTATTGATGACACAACACCACCACCACCGCCACTACCAACAGTTGCCTACATTATCAGGACAGTCATACTAATAGCTACACGACTGGCCATAACCGTAGTTGTCTACCAGTACCGACTAAACGGTCGACACAGCTGTAGTGGCTATATATGGTTTTATTTGTTAGCCGATACAGTGGCCAGCGGTCTAACCGTTTGGTCATACGCTACGGTTAGACCATCAATAACTGCGGGACAACTACTAGTAATATCCACAGAGTTTTCATTGACTATCCTATTGCTAGTGTTTTGTTCATTTGCCGACCGTTTACCACAACAACAACCACAACAACGACAACAATTGTCAGCTAAAAGCGCCGACACCTTAACCTTAACCAAAAACTGTCCAAAAGATAGTTCCGGTTTTCTATCGTTACTAACATTTCAATGGGTAGACAGTCTACTGTGGACTGGTTGGCAAAAATCGTTGACTATCGGCGATCTATGGCCACTACGATCGGCCGATAGAGTCGATCAATTGATGGCCCAATTTTCTAGACATTATAGGACAACTACTACTGCCAGTACTACTGGTGTACGGGTAGTTAGTAGGCAATGGTTGTCTAGAAAGTGGTCGTACATATGGTCTTATAAATGGTGGACAAACCGTAAATCAATTTACAACAAATTAAAATTATCAAAAATATCAGATACCGATAATACCGATAATACCGATAATACCGATAATACCGATAATACCGATAATACCGATAATACCGATAATACCGATGATACCGATGATGATGAGCTAACTGTGCCATTACTTAAGCATAGGTCATCATCACCATCAATGCCAACACCAACCACATCATCAGCACCACTACCGGCTAGTAATGTGTTTACAGCTATTTTGAAAACTTTTTGGTCGACTTATTTGCCGTCAACACTAGCTTTTATAGTATTTGATACGGGAGTCATATTCAGTGCATACCTACTTAAGTATGGACAGCAACCCCTACCCCACCACCCATTATAATAGTATTTTTTTAATTTTATAATTAATTATGTTATTAGATATTTGATTGAGTTTACCGTCAATGATGATGAACCCCAATGGCACGGTTATGTCTATGCGACCGCAATACTGGTGCTCAATATGACGGTTGCATTTTCCTACTCAATAAATGCCCAACAAATGGCTGTTTTAGGTAAATTGTAATGTATTGTATTTTATCATTAACTTTAACATTATAATCAGGGTTTTAAAAAGTGGCTGGCATAAACAATAGATGCCTGTGGTTATTGTAAATGCCTGCCCTGCCTATGCCATTGCATGCCTGGGCATCTATTTTTATAGATGGTGGTGACACCTATTATTTTAATTTTCTATATTATTAATTTATGTATAAAAAAAATATTGTTGTATTACTATATTTGTTTGTTTAGTATACCTATAATTATAAGGTAGTAACTAAGTAGATTAATTGTTAATTTAATTAACACGGTTAAAAATACTAAATTACGTAATATATTTTTATAAATACAGTTGACTTTTTTTTAACAATTTAAGAATTTCATGGAAAATAAAATAGATGTCCAAAATTTATACCATAATCTATTTGGGCATTGCCAGGGCATTTGAGCAGTTATTTACTTAAATCCCTGATTATTATATTTATTGTATTTTTTTAATAAATGCTTGTTTTATGTTTTTTTAGGACAGCGTATAAAAACATTGCTAACCGGACTGGTCTATCGTAAGGCACTGGTATTAAGTAATAGTGCCAAAAATCGGGAGTCTAATACCGGTCAAATAGTTAATCTAATGGCCGTCGATTGTCATCGATTTATTGGTATATATATATATATCAATATAATATATAATTTAATTGTTTTAAAAAATTTAATTATTTTTATTTTTTGAAAAAAGGGTTGTTATCGAAATTAAATTTTTTATGGACAGCCTTTATCCAGATAACATTGGCTGTATATCTACTATACACTGAATTAGGTGTGTCCATTGTTGCCGGTATCCTAGTATTACTGGTAGCTATGATGACCAATATATTTGTTGCCAAAATCAATGATAACTATATGTCACGACAAATGTCTCACAAAGATCGTCGACAATTGATTACCAATGATGTACTCAATGGTATCAAAGTTTTAAAAGTATTTGTTTTATTTTATTTTTAATTTAATTTTATTATTATTTTATTTTATTTATATATATTTAAGTTTTTTTAAATTATGATAAATGCTTAATAATTTAGTTTTAATAAATAAAATGTTAAAACATGATAATAATATAATATTACTAATAATAATAATATTAGATTATATAATAGTATTTTTTATTTTTAAAAAAAATTATTTTAATAAATAATATCTATTAATATTTTAAAAATCTATATCATATATCTATAATTATGTTAATATTTTATATTAATTATTTATTTTTAATTATATATATAACTTTTTTATATTTATTTATATATACTTCACACCCATACACCAATAACACACCCACACCTATAACACATCCACACCTATAACACACCCACACCTAAAAAACACAAATAGCTATACGCCTGGGAAAAGGCATTCATCGATAAGATATTGCAAATACGCGGCAAAGAGTTGGGATTTTTACGGACAGCCGGCTATTGGTCGACAATATCTCTACTGACATCAACTTGTCTACCATTTATGGTAACATTGGCTACGTTTGGCTCGTATTTGGCCATCGGTTCGGACACATTGGACGCCCAAAAAGTTTTTGTATCCTTGGCATTGTTTGCCAACGTCGGGAATTCAGTAATGAATATGCCCGACACTATCAACGAGATAATAATTGTATGGTTTTTTTGGTTATATAAAAAATTATTATAATTATATTAAACTAAAAAATATATTTTTTTAGTCAATAGTTTCAATTAATCGTTTAAACAAATTTCTGGATTTACCCGAACTAACCAATTATGTGACCAATAATATCGATACCATCGATAATGAGGAGGACGAGGATGACAACCACCTAACGGTGCTTAGCATAGAAAACGGTTGTTTTACATGGAATAGCATGGAATCAAATCCTAATAATAATAGTAATAATAATAATAATCTAATTTTGCAAAATATTAACCTAAATGTAAGCGATGGCCAGTTTGTTGCCATTATCGGTACAGTTGGTTCGGGTAAAAGTTCGCTATTGTCGGCAATTTTGGGCGAAATGAACCGATTGGGCGGTCAGGTTAACCTACGATCGGCAGGTGGTCTAAGTGTGGCTTATGTACCACAGCAGCCGTGGATCATGAATATGACACTCAGATATAATATCCAAATGTTTGGCAACAATCGTATCGCCGACGACTATACGGATGATGGACACCAGTATTACCGTCGAGTAGTCGACTCGTGCGCCCTAACCGACGATCTGAGACAACTGCCGGCCGGCGATAGGACAGAGATCGGCGAAAAGGGTACGAATCTGAGCGGTGGTCAAAAACAACGGGTAAGTCTGGCCCGGGCTGTCTATAGTCGGGCCGATCTCTATCTAATGGACGATCCATTGTCGGCAGGTATTTGGACGACTAAAAAAAACATACATTTATTTTAACTAAAAAAAATATTATTAGTGGACAGTCATGTTGGCCAACATATTATGCGTGAAGTACTGGACTCGCGGACCGGTTTATTACGCGGAAAAACCCGACTAATGGTAACCAATCAGTTGTTTGTGTTGCCGTTTGTCGACCAAATAGTTGTCATGAAATCGGGTAAAATCCATGCAATCGGTTCCTATGATCAGCTAATCCATGAAAATGAAGATTTCAGACAATTATGGCAACAATATTCCTCCACATCAGCAGTAGTTGATAGTAATCCAAATGATATTGAAAACAATGAAAATAATAATAATAATAAAAATATTGATACAACTGTCCCATTACTTGATGATGAATTGGTGGCCAATAATAATGATAATAACGATAATAATCGGCTAATCGATGATGAAGTGGTCGAAACCGGCAAAATCAAGCCTAGGGTTTGTATTTAATTTGTAGTTTAAAAGTAAAGACAAAAAAATATTTAATAATAATATTTTTTATTTTTTAAACAAAATTTATTTTGTGTTTTCTTATATTCTCTCTCTCTCTCTCTTTCTCTCTCTCTCTCACTATCTCTCTCTCTCTCWCTMTCTCTCTCTCTCTCACTCTCTCTCTCTAAATATATATATCTTATATTATATTTTCTGTAGATTTATCTAAAATATATCCAATCAATGTCAACCTGTTGGACAGTTATCCTAATCCTGGGCTATATGTTAGCCATTGCTAGCGAATCGGCATCGACTTTCTGGCTGAGCTTCTGGAGTGATGATCCTGAAAGTTCGTCCCATAAGTCCTACTATTTATTAGGTTATACATTGTTGGGTACATCGAAAATCTGTTTACTGGGCCTGTCGTGGACAGGTATTATCAGTACAACAGTATTGGCAGCCAATCGACTATATAAAACACTACTGTCCTCAGTAGTCAATACGTCGATGAGTTTTTTCGATACGACACCATTGGGTCGTATAGTCAACCGATTTAGCAAAGATATTGATATATTAGATACACAGATGTCGTCCACATTAAGGTATGTGTTTTGAAAAAAATCATAAAACATTAGCTAAGATATACTATATATTAATAGTATTGAACTTTTTTTGTTAATTGAATGTAAATTATATTTAAAAAAATTATTATGACATTCAAAAACACATATATCATATTTTTTTCAATATATATATATTATATAATATATATAGAAAAAATCAAGTTTACTATATCTTCAAATATAATTAACAATTTTAATATATATAGTATTTTAAACTGTTATATATTAATATATATACTGTATATAGTATATTAGTATATCTACAGTATATATTTATTATTTTCTTATCAAATTAATTATTATTATTACTTTTATATAACTTTATTTTAGTTTATTGATATACTGTTTGCTGGCATTATTGAACACACTTATAGTTATTACATTACAAACACCGTTATCATTGCCGGTAATAATCATATTGATTGTCTGCTATATATTATTACAGGTAAATAAACAAACAAATAAAATAATAATAATAATATTTTATAAGATAACAAAAAATTTAAAAAAAATTATATTAATAATATTTTTCTTTAATTTATATTTTTTGAAAATTTAATAGAAATTTTATCTAAAAAATTCACGTCAATTAAAACGGTTTGTATTTTAAAATAATAATTATTATTATTAGTATTTATATTTAAAAAAATTAAATTTATTGAAAATATTTTTTAAACATTTATTCTGTAATAGATTTCTATACATTTTTAAAAAATATATATATTATAATATATACATTGAATATATATAGATTAGAGATGACTACCCGATCGCCTATTTATACACATTTTAGCGAAACCTTGTCGGGTGTGTCAACCATACGAGCTTATGGATGTCAGCAGCGGTTTATTAGGGAATCGGACAGTCGAGTGGAAATCAATCAACAATGTCTGTATCCAAGTGCTTCAGTTACCGGTTGGATAGTATTACGACTGGAGTTTCTGTCGCATATGATTACCTATTCGGCCGCAATGTTTGCCGTACTGGCCAAAGGTACGGGAATTACGGGCGGATCGGTTGGTCTATCGTTACTGTATGCCGATAGTATTTGCGGATCAATGGGCAGTTTAGTCAGATTGTCGGCCGTATTGGAAAATAATATGGTTTCCGTCGAACGGGTGGACGAATATTCTGGCCTAAAACCAGAGTCCGACGACAGCAACGGCGCCGGCAATGACTGTAATGGTCAGTCTAGTGACCGCCGACGGCCGGACGACAGCAAAGGATGTATAGAGTTTCGTGACTATAGTACCCGATATAGACAGGGACTGGATCTGGTGCTCAAACATATCAATATTAAAATCAATGCCAAAGAAAAAGTTAGTTTTTTTATATATGATATATAATATTTATAACTATTATTATACAGTAGTAGTAGTAGTAGTAGTAGTAGTAGTAGTAGTAGTAGTAGTCAGTAGTAGTAGTAGTAGTAGTAGTAGTAGTAGTAGTAGTAGTAGTAGTAGTAGTAGTAGTAGTAGTAGTAGTAGTAGTAGTAGTAGTCATAATAGTAGTAGTAWTAGTAGTCATAATAGTAGTAGTATTAGTAGTAGTAGTATATGTATTTTACACCCAAATTATACATTAAATTTCTAATAATAATAATAATAATAATAATTTTTTTTACTTATTATTTAAAGATTGGAATCGTTGGCCGAACCGGTTCGGGAAAGTCATCCATGAGTTTAGCATTATTTCGTATCATAGAGTCAGTCGGCGGCCAAATACTCATTGACGGCACAGATATCAGTCGACTACCACTACCAGTGCTACGATCTGGCCTAACAATCATACCACAGGAACCGGTATTGTTTTGCGGTACTATCCGTACAAATTTGGATCCGTTTGGCCGGCACTCGGATTCGGACATATGGCAAGCACTGGACAGATCTCATCTCAAACCGTATGTTTTATCGGGTAAATCAGGACTCGACTACCCGATCAGCGAAGGTGGCGATAACATGAGTGTCGGTCAACGACAACTGGTATGTCTGGCCCGTGCATTACTACGCCATACGACTGTCCTGATCCTCGATGAGGCCACGGCTGCCATTGATGTGGAAACCGATCGACTAATACAGCAAACAATTAGGTCAGAGTTTTCCGACGCAACTGTCCTGACAATAGCTCATCGGCTAAATACTATCCTCGACTCGGATCGGGTTATAGTCCTATCCGATGGACAGGTAGTCGAGTTTGATTCGCCCCGCAGTTTACTATCGGATAGTAATTCCCAGTTTTATTTATTAGCTAAAAATGCTGGTATTATTTAATTAAAAAAAATGAATATATAAATTATTTAAATTTTATTTTTATTATTATTATTATATACATAAATAATTTTTTTGTTATGTATTTATCAGCATTTATATTACTAATTAAACTATTATTTTTTAAATTAAAAAAATTAAATATTTATTATTATTTTTTATAAAATACTAATAACAATGTATTTAGTTTTTAAAAACACTTTTTAATTAATAGAAATTAAAAGTAAAAATATTAGACTAAATTATATATAAAATATATATATAATAAATAAAACAAAATAAATTTATTTTAGTTTTTTTAAAGTTTAGTTTTTAAATAATTTTTTTTTATTATTGAACTAACATTGAAAGTATATATATATTTATTTTGTTAAAATAACTAAATATTATATCATTTAGAAAAAACTAGTTTTCAATTTTTGTTTAAAAAAACTTATCACTAAAACACACATATGTTAGCAATTAATTATTAAAAAAATAAAATCATTTACATTTAACATTGCATTATATTTAATAACAAATAATCTTTAATACTATTATTTTACTATAAAAATGTTTGAAAATTATTCACACTATTTTATATCTATAGTAATTTTTTTGTGTAATGTATTTATAAATTATATATAAAATTTATACAATTAAATACAAAAATAAATTTAAATAATATTTAACTAATATTATATACCATTTTATTTGTAGTGCATTTAATTTTATATATTTATATACAGTATATATAAATATCGTACAGAATATTCTCATTAAATAATAATAATAATATTCAATAATAAAGCCATGAATAACATTAACAACAATAAAAAAGAGAGAAAAAAACTATTTATAGATTTAATATATTATATATAATATTACAATAAATATATGTCTTTAATATACAATTATAATAAAGATAACAATATATTGATATATTATATTATCAATAGTTACAATTATAATCTATATTTAATATTTAATATGTAACTATAAATAGTAATAGAAATTTATTTTTAATATATATTTTTTTTGAATAAAATAAATAAATAAATAGATTTTTCATAGAATAAAATCTATATATATATATATAATTATTAATAATTTTAATAATTGAATTATTCTTAAAAATATTTTATTTATTTTCTAAATTTTTCAAAAAAAAATTTATGTTATCAAAAATATATAATATTTTTTTGATAGATAAACTAGAATATGATTAGTAAAAAAAATTTAATCTATGATATTAAATATATAAATATTTTATTTAACTAATATTACATTATATAATAGTGTGCAAAAAACACGCAAAATTACATGTTTTTTTAGAGTAGAAAATAACTATTTAGTAATAGTAATGCAAAAAAATAAGAAAATATTTTTTATATTATTATTAAAAATTTATGAATAATTTTTTTTCTTATTTTATTGATTTATTTTTGCTCAATATATATACTGTACAGTATATATCCAAAAAACATTATCTTTTATAATACTAAATACAGTATTATTAACGACACGACATTTTTTATTATTATAGGAGTGTATCACCAAAAATAAAAAAAATAAAATAAAACAATATAAAAGACAAAAGAAAATTTTGAGACATATATATATATATAGTATATAACAGTATACTATAGTATAATATCAGTGAAAATATTTTTAATAAAATATATTAACCACCAAAATAGATGTCAATTAAATAGAGAGAGAGAGAGAGAGAGAGAGAGAGAGAGAGATTATTATTAATCGTTTAATATTTTAGTACAATATTTTTTTAATATATATATATACCCTGTATATCAATAACCTTATATTGATATATATTGTATAATGAATTATATAATACAATATAATTATATATATATAAGATTTGATACTTAACTGTACATTGCGTGCACTCATAGACATTATTAGACATTAAGAGGACAGGTATTTGTTGAGAGATTTTTATTGAACACATTATCAAACAAATAGTTGGTGTGTCCTCACTATCTCTCTCTCTCTCTCTCTCTCTCTCTCTCTCTCTCTCTTCTCTCTCTCTCTCTCTCTCTCTCTCTCTCTTTGTCTCTCTTTTCACTCTATCTATACTAAATGTACAGTTAGTTTAGGGACTGGTATGTTATATGAGTGAGTGAGTGAGTGAGTGATCGCACTTATTATTATTCAATCAAAAATATATATCACTGAAAATACTGTACAAAAAACAGTTTACTATAACATCAATGATGTTATAGTGTGTGTGTGTGTGTATTAAATGACTGTCAGTTTTGATTTTATTTTTTGCTTTTTATTTGCTAAATACAAAATCATAATCAGAAAAAATATTATTATTATTATTGATCGATATTAATGTATCAAAAAAAAAAAATTGAATTTTGTTTTTTTGTTGTTTAACTGATGTGTCAATTATTATGTATTATATGTGTGTTTAATCCGATAAATAATAATAATAATAATTAGTTTGTAATTTATTATTTATTTAGTTATTATATATCATCAGTTGTTTAACCCATTCAATTGAAATTAATCGATATATTATATAATAATAATAATAATATATATAATTTAATCAATCATTTTATGGCATATTAATGACAGATATATAAATTATATATTAATATATATATATATATATACTGTAATATACATTATATATTATATGAATTATTAATTGTCAATTAAAAAGTAATTTTCAAAATAAACTATTAAAAAATAAATTGTTATTTAATACTATATTAAATAATAATAATAATAAAACTATTTTCAACAGCAAAAAAATAGTTAATAAAAAAATTTGTTTAATTTAAATAATAATTTTTAACTCATGAAATAAAACAATATTATTAATAATAAATAAAATTATCAATAATAATACTACAACTAATAAAAAATAATAAATTTTTAATTAGTTTTTAATTAAAAAAATATATGATTTATTTTAAAAATAAAAACTAATTACAAGTTATACTACTAATTGCTTATATATATAACAATAAAATATAACAATATAGCACCGGGAGGTTTGAGTATCTATAAAAAAAATTAATAAAAATGCCGTCCTATATGTCTAGTAGTCTATCAATGGTTAAGTCGATACTAATATTTATTGTTGTACTGAGTATTATCGGTTCAATCGCCCAATTATTATCGGCACTGTTATCATTGGCATCGGCCCAGGATATTGAAAATCTGAGTGATCAACGTATGATGGGTAAGCATATATTATAGTTAAAATAATTAAATAATAATTAAATAATAATTTTTTAAAATTATTTTTAAAAAATAATTTGATTTTTAGAAATAGATAGTTATTTTTTAATATATTTTTTATTATATAAAAATATAATAATCTAATAAAATATTTATTTAATTTATTAAAGAATATTCTATATATCAATATATACTGCATATAACTAATAGAGTTTTGAAATTTTCTATAACATTAAAAAAAATTAAAAATTAATTATTAGGTTTTTAATTATATATTTAATAAAAATTTAGTATAATTTAGTAATCTTTTAATTTTAATATTTTTTTTTTAAAAATAAATTAAACTAAAATAATTAATTAAATTTTTTTTGGTTGGGTTTTAAGAAATGGGTGCAATAGCTATGCTTATAATGGCACTGGTATGTTTTACATTTGAATTGATTGGTTTGTTGGGCATACTGGCCACCAATTTGTCGGTAATGTCCGTATTTGCTATTGTCATGACTGTGGCTACAATTATCAGCTGTTTTACCGGTACGGGTGGACTCAAGTTTCTGATTATTTTGCTGAACCTATCGATGTCGGCCCTGTCCTTCATTTATCTCTATCTATGTGTCAGGTATTTGTTAATATAATTAAATTTTTATTGTATGTGTGTGTATGTGTGTGTGTGTGTGTGTGTGTGTGTGTGTGTGTGTATGTGTGTATATGTGTGTGTATGTGTGTGTATGTGTGTGTATGTGTGTGTATGTGTGTGTGTGTGTGTGTGTGTGTGTGTGTGTGTGTGTGTGTGTGTGTATGTGTGTGTATGTGTATGTACTCTGCCTTTAAATTGATATAAAAAAATTATTTTATACCAAAAATTTAGACGAAAAGAAAAGGAAGAGTTCAGACAACGAAATTCAATGTCTGTTTCGGTTATCAACGATATGAACGATGGACTCATGAATAATACTAATAATATCAACAATAATAGCCATCACAATGGGAACGGTAGGAAAATTAGCTCATAGATACTGATACTGATGCTGATGATTATGGGCTAATATACGGTAAAAAAATATTGATATACCTGTATATATATACAGGTATAATATAGCGCACATGTATTTCGCATATACAGTAAAAATTTATATGTAAAAAAAATAAAATATTATAATTATATATACGGTATATAGTGTATAATATTTTATCAATTATTGTATTATATATATTAATTATAGATGATATTATTATAATTAGTCAATAAATAAAAAAAATTTTATTGATAGAAATGTTCATCCCCTCCCCCTCCCCATTCCCCCATTTATCCAACCATACATTATGAGCTTAATGTGTTAATTATTTATTATATTTTAAATTTTTTTATATTAATCATAAATATTACTAAATATTAAAAATTATCTAATAATATATAAATATGTGTTATATTTTCAATGCACTCATTTATTAATTAAATTATTATAATAATAATTATTATTATTAATATTATTCATGTTTTACGTATTTAATAAAAAATAATATTTAAATAATCTATTATTATGTTATTATTAAACAAAATTTTTAATAAAAATAAAACAATTTCAACAAAATTTATTTAATACTTATATAATATGTGTGATTAAACAATAACACTACAAAAAATTTATTGACATTTTTTTAATAATATAAAAGTACTATTATTATTATTATTATCAATATTACATGTTTTCATATATATATAAATAACTCCCAAAAAATAGGATATTATAACAAAACAAAAAATAAGAAAATAAAAAGTGCTTTAATTTTATTACTTTGTTTTATCTATATATATATATATATATTAAGTGCAATGCAATTAAATTGTGTATACTCTTTTAGGTTTATCGCCCTTTTTTCGCGTTCAATGTTTTTTTTTGGGGTGTCTGGTTGAGAAACATATATATATATATATATCAGGTGAATATGATGACCAATCAATGCCGCCTCCTGTTTTTTTGCATCAAATCTAATGATATGCTCTCCAAAACATTCTTTAAGAGTATTGAACACATAGTTAAAACCAATGATTGTTTGCCAAACGTTTTCTTGGTATAGTAGCGCTGAACGTTTCAGTGACTTGTAAACTTCTAATGTTACACTTTGAGTTAGAAATATTGACGCAATAATACGTCAAAAATGGTTTTTTTGTGCCAAAATGTTGCATATACTGATAATAAATACTAAGTAATAATAATAATAATACTAAAGTCATATAATTGAGAAATCATAGCAACAAATTGATGTTTTATTTTTCGTAGAAATTTTTTTTTTTGTATATTAGTAGTTGAATATACTGTATATTATATATATATATATATATATATATATAACATAATTTATTCAATAGATTTCTACACACACACAAAATAGATTATTAGATGATCCTATAAAAAACTAGGGTTGCTAAATGTCCTCTAATAAATTAGATGGATTTTTATTTAAAAATTATTATTATTTAATATTATTAAATTAACTGTATCTATAATATATGTGTAAAATTTAATTTCAATAATACAAAATAAAATTTTATATGTATTATAATTTAATATTATTAGTAAAGCATACTTTTTATGTGTCTATTAGATATTAAATCTTTAATTTAATAAGATATTTATTTAAACAAAAATAACTGGTTTATTATAATTAAATTAAAAAATTATTTAATTTATTAACATTCATTAATTCATATATTTGATTAATTGTATTATATAATAAATACATTTGTCCTAAAATATTATCTGGCAATCCTATTTCTATCATATATATATATATATATATATATATATATATATATATATATATATATATATATATATATATATATATTGATGTATTGATGAGTAGGCGATTTATTATAGCTTTTTAAAAAAGTTATTTTTTTAGTATTTGACGTAAAGTCATATATATATATATATATATATATATTTGTTATCTATATTTTTGTGGTCATTTAGTTATTATATACGGTATAAAAATAATATTATTATAATCATAATAATAATAAATAAAAAACTAATGAATCCCATTGTTTTATGAGATTAAATAAATAATTTATACAATATTTTTCTATAATATATATATATATATATATAATATATGTCTATGTTATGTATTAAATTATTATAATAATTTGAAAATAAAAAAATTTTATTGCATAATAATATGACAAAATTAATGAAAAAATTTATTATTATTATTATAATAGTATTGTTTAAGTATACATAAACTAACATTAAATAAAATCAATATTGCTTTAAATAAATAAAATTATTTAAATATTCAAATTGTAATTTGTAATGCAATTTATGATTACTAAAAATAATATTATTATATATATATATAGATATAATAAAAAATATTAAAAAAGTATTAATATATAAATGTAATAAATATTTTTTTTTTGTAAATTCAAGTTAAATTTTTTACATTTTTTAGCTAACAAATTAAATTATATAAACATTTTATATTAACATTTAAAAAAAAAATAATTTTAATATTATTTTTTTTGGAGGGTTAGGGGTTAATATCTTATACATTTGACACTATCATAAATTGACATCTAGTGTCGTAAAAATTTATATTATTTTTTTGGTACATGTGCAATAAAATAGCAAAATAGTTATTTTTTCAATTAGTATAAAAATTTAATTATGATTATTTTGAAAAATTATTTTATATACAAATTATTAAATGTTTTGTTAATTTTTGTAAATATTATAAATTTTTACCCCTTTTAATCAAAAAAAAAGTTTAATATATTTAAACTAACAATATATATATAAATGGCAAGTATTTGTTAATAAAAAAATGTCAATTCAAAACTGTTTATACAATTTTTTCTAAAAATTAATTATTTATGAAATTGACATAATTTTTTTTATAATTTTAAATAGTTTAATGATATAACTATGAACTTTGAAACTAATTTTATTTATTTATTTACACACAAAAAAATTGTCCAAAAAAAAATATATGTTAAGAGAGAGAGAGAGAGAGAGAGAGAGAGACTTATAAATAATAATTAGAAAAAATATTATTAATAATTGTTAAGTAAATACAGTACTACTACTACTACTAAATAACTAACTTTCCTTTTAAAAACTAGTATTATTTAATAAAAAAATATTATAATAATATTATTATTGAATAAATGATGCTTATGTAGGCTATTTGGAAAGTTTTAAATACCGTCACCATTATATATATATATATGTATATTATATATACATACTGTGCAAATACCGGTATGTGTTGTTGATGTTGTTGTTGTTGTTGGCTAAAGCACTGGTAGTTTCCATCAGTACTTTCCCCCTAAAAAAAGTTTTTTGGTTTTGGTTAATGTTTACCAGTCATTGACTGACTCCTATCATGTAAGAGATGGAGGACAGGTATTACGTGTTTTTCGTAAAAGTTAGTTATAATAATAATAATAATAATTTGTAATAAATATTTTCTCACTAATTAGTTTTAATTGTTGTTTGATTTGTAATAATTAAATATATATTTTCAAAAAATTTGTTTTTTTTTTAGTATACAGTGTATGTGATAATACTGTATAAAATTTATATATGTTTTAATATACAGTATATTACCTACAATTCCCCATCTATTGGTCTAGAGTTGAATGAAATTATTTGATCAGTTTATAGTTGTGTTTATGGTATGGGTATGGTATGGTTGGGTTTTTTCAGGGGTGGGGTAGGGGTTATGGAGGGGACAGTCATATAAAAATAGATAGAAAGTGAAAGTCATATATTATATACTGTATAAAATTGTTGACCAAATAATATGGACTAACATATCATACATACAAGTGCTGCACACAGTTGTTTTGATTTTGTTTGTGTGTCCATCAAATCCCCACTTATTTTTATGCCCAGTGAGTGAGTGAGTGAGAGATAGAGAGAGAGAGAGAGAGAGAGAGAGAGAGAGAGAGAGAGAGAGAGAGAGAGAGAGAGCTAAGAGAGCAATGAATTTCTCTCATAAACTATTTCTCTATAAGAAAGTAATACCAGATTTCATGTGTGTGTGTGTGTGTGTGTGTGTGTGTGTGTGTGTGTGTGTGTGTGTGTGTGTGTGTGTGTGTGTGTGTGTGTGTGTGTGTGTGTGTGTGTGTGTGTGTGTGTGTGTGTGTGTGTGTGTGTGTGTGTGTGTGTGTGTGTGTGTGTGTGTGTGTGTGTGTGTGTGTGTGTGTGTGTGTGTGTGTGTGTGTGTGTGTGTGTGTGTGTGTGTGTGTGTGTGTGTGTGTGTGTGTGTGTGTGTGTGTGTGTGTGTGTGTGTGTGTGTGTGTGTGTGTGTGTGTGTGTGTGTGTGTGTGTGTGTGTGTGTGTGTGTGTGTGTGTGTGTGTGTATGTATGTATGTATGGCTCGTCCACTGACACCATCATCATCGACACCGACTGTGCGCTTATGTATGTATGGATGTAATGTTTCAGTCAGTTTTTCAGTCAATGATTATATTATACAGTAGTTTGTGTATCTCCTACCAGCATCAGCTCAGTTAGCTTTTTATACGCACACAGACACACACACTACACATCAAGCACAGGGAGTTTTCAAGGGTATCATCACTACTACCACTACCGATATCTCTGACTTTCATCAGTTAGTCATTAAAAATCTATGAAAATCTTGGGATAAAATTCAAAGAAATTTTAATTATTTTTTTTTGTTAAACAATTTATTGTTAAAAATTAAATAAATAATAATTTTTTTAAGTTTTTTTCTCAAAGTATTTACTGACAACTAGTTATTAGTTTATTAAAAATTATAAATAAATAATAATTTTAATTGTGTTTTATGTGTGTTTGTGTGTGAAAAGCATCAGTAGTTAGTTGTTTGAAAACTTTTTTTTTAATAAAATATATATTTTCCTTATTATTATTATTATTATTATTATTTTCAAGTGATCTATAGTGTAGTGTCTGTGTTGTCAATCAAAAAAAAAATAATAATAAAATAAAATAAATATTTTTAATAATAATTTTATTGTGTTTTTATTGTGTGATTAGTTTGTTTGTCTAAACTAATGGCTCAAAGGACTGTTGGGTTTCGGTTAGTTAGGTGTACATACATTATACTACTAGTGTTGGGCCTAATAGGGTCGTCCATATTATTGCTGATTGGTTTGTATGCCCTATACGATAGTCAAGATAATTGTAAACTATATGAAAACATAATGAAATACTATGGTATTGATGAACTAAATTTTGAACCAGTATTCAATGATACATATCTACTGGGGTCGGGTAGTAGTGGTAGTAATAGTAGTCTAAATACTACCAGTGCTATACATAATAATTATGATGACAACAACAACAATAATAATAATTTCAACAAACAAAGTATGAGTTTTGTATTTTAATTAATTGTTTAATTAATTGTTTAATTAAATGTTTATTAAAATTAACATTTATTTAATTGATTATTAAAATTAACATTTATTTAATTGTTTAGTAAAATTAATATTTATTTAATTGTTTATTTAAAATTAATATTTAATTAAATGTTTAGTAAAATTAATATATATTTAAATGTTTAGTAAAATTAATATTTATTTAATTGTTTATTTAAAATTAATATTTAATTAAATGTTTATTAAAATTAATATATATTTAATTGATTATTAAAATTACTATTTAATTAATTTTTATTTAAAATTACATTTTATTTTAATATATTTGTTTGAAATAAAATCATTTTATTTTAATTATTTATAATATTGTAGTAATTTTTTATAAAAATTATTTTTCAATTATTTGTGTTTAAATATATAAATTTTTACTTAATTATATGTATATTTATATTCATATATTTAAATAGTTATGAAAATAATTTTTTTTATTGTAGGTAATTGATAATAAATAATTTTTAATTATTAGTATAAATAATTATTTTTTGAAAAAATATAGTAGTGTTAAATATTAATTTAAATAAAAATGTATTAATTTAAAAAAACTAATATTATCGATATTTATTTATTTATTAAATTTTATTTTTCAATCACTTAAAAAATTACATTAATATTTAGTAATAAACTTATCGATTGATTGTAGTTTTAAAAAAAATTAATTTATTTTTTATTTTATTTGTTGATAATCTAATATAATTGAAAGCAAACAATATATATATTTTATATATATATAACTTATAAAATAAACTACAGTATAGTCACTATATGTAAGTCAATGTCACTGAGATTAATGAATTCAATTGAAATGATAGATAGAGATAACAAAAAAATATAATAAAATAAATTATATGTCCTTTTAATACATTATATATATATATTTGTATTAATATTTATATCTAATAAGTTATCAGATTTAATACTAATACAAATTACTACTAATAAAATCACAACAAAATATATTTGTTGTTATAATAATAATAATAATAATAAATGTAATTCAAGTAAATTTAGCGCAAAAATAATATATATATATATATTKTATTAATCTGTGATTTTTTGTGTGTCCGGTCACTACATAATTGAGATAAAATCAATAAAATTTTGTTATTATTATTATTATATCTATTATGTTATATAATATACAATAGTTTGTTAGTCAATGTGTATAACAATTGTGTCAAAACTTAGGCTGTATATAACACATTGATTATATAATATAATAAATATTTATATACTGTATATATATATAGCTATCAAAACTAAACTAACTTTAAAAATAAATTATAATTTATAATTTATCATAAAATCTATAATATATTATAATAGTATAATAGTTTAACACACATGTTGTATATTATTGTATAATATAATTGCAATACTAATTGTTAATCAATTAATTTGTTGTTATCTATTATATATATATATATATTATTTTATTTTATTTATTCAATTAATTTTTATTTTATTTACACACACATGTGTTGCTATAATAATAATAATATTAATGGTGAAAAAATATGATAATATATTATTTTTAATATAATAAAATATTAATTATAAAATCCAATTATATTTATTGTTGTATAACTTTCTAATCAATGTAGTAGACATAATAAATAATTAATATTTTATTTATTATTAAAAATTTATATCAAATATTTATCTTTATTGTTTAATTGCAAAAAATAATAACAACAATAAGTAGGTTTTTTTTAATAATAATTGCATTTAAAAAAATTAGATTTATAATAGTAAATAGTTAAAAACAAAACATAAAAGTTTATAATAATAAAAAATTATTTAAAAATATTATTAAATATTTTACTACAAAATAAATATTAGTTTAACTAATCTTTTAAAAAATAGTATAATAATAAACATATATATATAATAGTAAAAGTAATTATGAAATCAAAAAAAAATAATTATAAAATTTGTTTAACTTAAGATTTAATTATTTTAATTGATAAAAATTTTAATTTTATAATGCTTTTTAAATATATATATAAATGATTAAATAAATTTCAAAATTTTAAAGATAAAATGCAGTATAACTTAATAAAATTAAATAATCAAATCAAATAAAAATTATTTAAATGCATTTAAATATACTACTAAAATAGGTTTTAGTTAATTATTATAAATATATTTGTTATTTTATTTTTTGAATTAAATAAAACTTAAGCTTTAATTAATAAATAATTAGCTTGATTAGTTTAATAAATAAATTTTTAACATTAAAAATAATGTTTTGTTAATACATGAACATTTAAAACTTTTTAAAATAAATAACTATTAATTTTTATAAAAACAATAAAAACATATAATATTTTGCTATATTTAAAAAATTTAATTATATTTTTAAAATATTAAAAATATTAAATTAAATCAAACAACAAAATATAAAATAAGGAAAAAAACGTGACTTGAAAAAATAATTAAATATTTAATTTTATATTAAATATTTATATATCTATTATAGTATAAATAAATCATAATTAATATTAATAACAAAAAAAACAGTTTATTTATAAATTATTAAATTAAAAAATAATATAATTTATTATATTTTCATATATTTTATAATATCTAGTATATTATTGCTTCAAATTAAAAAAAAAACAAACAAAAAATTAATCTAAAAATTTTTTCTAACTATCCTCCCGTTCCCCTCTCTCTCTTTCTCACTCACTCACTCACTCACTCACTCACTCACTCACTCACTCACTCACTCACTCACTCACTCACTCACTCACTCACTCACTCACTCACTATTTCTCTCTCTCTCTCTCTCTCTCACTATCTCTCTCTCTCTCTCTCTCTCTCTCTCTCTCTCTCTCTCTCTCTCTCTCTCTCTCTCTCTCTCTCTCTCTCTCTCTCTCTCTCTCTCTCTCTCTCTCTCTCTCTCTCTCTCTCTCTCTCTCTCTCTCTCTCTCTCTCTCTCTCTCTCTCTCTCTCTCACTATCTCTCTCTCTCTCACTCACTCACTCACTCTCTCTCTCTATCTGTCTCTCTCTCTCTCTCTTTGTCTGTCTGTCTCTCTCTGTCTGTCTGTCTCTGTCTGTCTGTCTCTCTCTGTCTCTCTCTCTCTCTCTCTCTAACTATCTCTCTCTCTCTCTCACTCTCTCTCTCTCTCACTCTCTCTCTCTCTTTCTATTATTCTATAGATTTTTTGGCCACAATTATGGTGTTTGTCGGTGCCGTTTCGGTAATCTTCGAGCTAATCGGCCTAATCGGTGCCTGCCGTGACTCGTTGGTCATTACGCTAACCATATTGATACTGATGATTGTCGGTACCCTATCGGGCCTGTTTACCATCCGGACCATCGACTTGTATACAGTGATTACCCAATTGTTTTTCATACTACTGGCCGCTCTCTACGTTATCCTATTGAAACGTCAACTGATAACTGCCGCCGACTACTCCCGTAGCGGTGGCCGCAGTGGTCCTATCGATGTCGAAATGAACAGGCGATTAGCGGCCAGTAATGGTGGCCAACAACAACCGCATAGAAAGTCGGGAACGTTAGATACAAAGTACATAACCTTAGATGGTTCGGGTGTGGGCGCAGGTGGTGGTGGAGGTACAGGTGCCGGACCACCACCTTATTAGTATTGAATGGACAGTCATAGAGCACACACATACATAATATACATGTCATGTCTATTAAAACAAAAAAAAATTAAAAAAAATTTAAATAATACATGTATAAAAAAAATGTATAACATTTTTTTCTCATTCATTTACAATATATATATATACAGTATATTTTTTAATTATTATGAATAGTTAGAAATATAAAAAAATTTATTTAACAAACAAACAAAATCAACAAAAAATCAATTACAAATATACAGTGAAAAAAACATAATTATTAAAATATTTTTGTTTTATTTTCATTTTTTAAATAAAACATTCATATATTTAATATATACTATAAATGTTAAATATTTATTATTATTATTATTATTATTACTATTAATCATAATTATATTTACACAAACATTAAAATACTTTTTTTTTAAAAACTTCAAAATCAATACTTATATATACAGTATATATATATTATAATAATTAGATTATTATATATATATATATATATATATTATTAATGTTATTATTAAATACAATTATAATTGATATTTATTGTCTTGAAATTATAATGTGGGTGTCCGTAATGTTTTTATCAATATTAATATTAAATATATTTATTATTAGTATTATTATTATTATATTGAAAACAAATTGATCAAATATTATATTAATATATATATTTATATAAACCACACAAATATAATATTTATATAATTAAAAAAAATTAAAAAAATAATAAATTGTAAGGTATATAATACTTTTAAAAAAATAGGTCTAGACTTGTTTGCCATTTATTATTTATACAATAAATAAATATATATTTAATAATTAATATTATTTTCAAAATCTATATATAAAGTATTTATATATAATTATTTTTTAATTTTTGGTTAATATATATATATATATATATATATATATATATATCAATATACTGTATAAATATATAATATCTTAAAATATTGATATAAATTTATTATTTAAGTTATATTATATTATTTTGCTATAAAATAAATTAATTAAATAATATTAATAATTAATTAATATTGTTATTACACAATTATAATAATTGAAATTTTTGTAAACATTATATATATATATTATAAGATTGTATATTTAATTAAATTTTGTAATAACGCACTTAATATTTATTATTATTATTTTTTGTTATTATTTAAAATAAAATTTAATAAAATATTATATAAAAATTTTGAAATCCTAAATATATTTTAATTAAATTTATTAATCTTAATAATAATAATAATAAATAAAGATATACTAAAAGATATATTACCATAAAATAAAAATTTTTAAATATTTATTATTTAAATTAAATGATTACTACTACTACTGTATGATATTAATGAAAAATATTATTAAATATATTTAATATAATAAATTATATTAACGATACTTTTATTTTATTTTTATTTTTTTTAGAAATAAAGTCAAATTAACATTAATAGTACTTAAATGGATAAAAAAATTTAAATAACATTTTTTAAAATTTATTTAATTGCATAAATAAAAAATAAAGTCTAAGATATTTAAAAATCTAAATTATAAGATATTAAATGTATATTCATTTATTTATTGATTACTAATTAAAAACTAATTTATTTATATATATATTATAAATAAATTAGAAAATTAAAATGTAGTTAAAATTATAATTTATTATTAACAGTTAGTAATAATTAAATAATTTTTTTCGTCAAACATTACATATAATTTTTTGTGGATTTAATTTTTACTGATTTAATACACGCAATCATTTAATTTATTTAATGTTATGTAATATACAATATATATATATATATTGAAAGTGAGAGTAAGTTTAGATAAGAGAGAGAGAGAGAGAGAGAGAGAGAGAGAGAGAGAGAGAGAGAGAGAGAGAGAGAGAGAGAGAGAGAGAGAGAGAGAGAGAGAGAGAGAGAGAGAGAGAGAGAGAGAGAGAGAGAGAGAGAGAGTGATTATTGCCATATAAATAGGTAAAGCTTATAAAATATTGTATACTTTATATATACAATATATATATATGTGTATATATATACTGTATATATTAAAAATTATATATATATATATATACAGTATATTACAAAACAACTTGTTTTGATCAAAGTGTAGGTAAACTAAATGCTTCATTGAATAAAAACTTTTATTTTCATTTTATTTATTTTTTTTTGATTTGTGATTTACGAGTGAATCGCATGTAATGTATATATAAAATACAATATACTGTATATATATATATATATATATATCTATATAAATTATATATCCGTAAATTACTGGGTAAACTTGCTGTAAAAACATACACAAATACTACTGTATATATACAGTATATATAATCAATTTGATTGCAAAATCAATTATTTGCACACAAATACAAAAACTTTGTATCACTTGATGAGATAATGGTATGTATTTATATACAGTATATACTGTATATATATGTGTGTGTGTTTGGACGTCAATAGCAAAATAAAAACATGTAAATGTATTATACTTAACAACAATATTTTAAATGATTAATAATAATAATACTATAATTATATTATTAGTATATGATTTGTTATAAAATAAATTTCAAAATAAAAAAAACAATTTTAGTATATATTTTATACTAAAATATTTTATTCACACTATTTTATGCACACTCACACTATATATATATATATATATATATATATATATATATATATATATATATATATATATATATATATATATTACTATATATATATATTATATATATATATACAGTATATATAAGTATAAAACAAATATCATAGATAAGTAAGTTTGATATATAATTGTCACGTTATATATTAATAATTTTTATTTTTTAAATATATTAATATATTTGAATATATTTAAACATACTAGCTAATCAAATAAAATCATAATTTATTTTTTAATTTGTACAAGGCACAAATAATATTATGTTTTTTAAAAAAAATGTTGTTTGATTAAATCTATAAACTAACCCTGGGTTTTTTTAAAAAAAAATTATTATTTTAATGTATAGTAATAACTGCATTATATTTACATATATTAGCTTTAATTAGTTATATTTTTTTGTGTATGGTTTCAATATTGAGATAATACTGTACTTAAATAGTTAATTAAAATTTTATAATTTGTTTTCTTAATAATAATTAAAAAAAATTTTTTATTAATACTGATAATAACTATTTGATTGAAAGTGAAACCATTTTTAGTTTGAATTGTAAAGATATATATATGATATAGATTTTTCAATAGCATATAAATTATTATTATTATTATTAATCTTACAAAAATTATATTTTTATATAAAATATATTTTTTTTAATCATAAAATATTAGATTTAATTCAAGTATTAAATAAGATTTAATATATATATATAAATAAATATTATTTCATATAATAATCTAATGTACAGTAGTTATGATAATATATTAATACTTTATTAATAATAATAATAATATCCTATTATTTAGTTTGATATTATAATTGTATAAGTATTAAATATATAATATTATTAAAAATATAATATTATTAAAAATATAATATTATTAAAAATATATTTATTATTATTTAGAAATCTATTTATTATTATTTAGAAATCTATTTATTATTATTTAGAAATCTATTTTTAATCATAAAATATTTGAAATAATTCATGTATTAAATAAAATAATTTTGTTGTTGTTGTTGAAAATATCAATATATTACTAGAAATGTAAATACTATTTCATAATAAACTACTTAATAATAATAATATCCTATTTGTTTGCTATTATAATAATTTTCAAAGTATTAAGATTTTATTATTATTATTATTTAAAATTGAAAATTAATAAATCACATAAATATAATAGCATTAAATAAATAAATAAAAAATAAATAAATAAATTTTATTACAAATTTTTTATCCAAATATAATAAAAAATAAAATATTTTAAATATTTTATTATTATTATTATTATTTAATATTCAATTAGTTTTTTTGTTGTTGTATCCTATCTGACATATTAAGCTATTTTATATATATATTAAAAAAATATTACTATTTTTTTAGATAACAATTTTCAATAACATATTGTGTGTGTGTATAAACAATTTTATAGTATATATATCTATTGAAAAATAAAATTTTAATATTATTTAAGCAGTTATTTTATGCAATAAGCAAAAAAATAAAAATAAAACTATAGTATTTAAAATATAATACTATTATATATTTATTTATTTAAAAAAGTATTTTACAGTATTATATAAAAAAGTTAATCTAGAAAAATGCATTTTTGTTGTAACATTGAATTAATAAAAATAAATTTTGTATTATTATTTTATTTAAGATATTATTTTCAATGGTGTTATCAAACATAGAGTTAGATAATTAATATATATATATATATATATATATATATAATAATATATATATATTATCACTATAATATAAATAAAAATTTTTATTATATTATTTTATATATATATAAATAAAATCAAGATATGCATCAATTGACCCAAATTTTGTTAATGTTGTTGTTGTTTACTATCTATAATATAAATAAAAATTTTTATTATATTATTTTATATATATATATATATAATTTAATGCAGTATAATGTATTCAAATTATAAAAAGCTATCTAACTTTAAAATATAAATGATATATTTAATATATTTTAAATAAGCATATTATATTTTTATACACATAATATATWTATATAAATATATTTATGGTTTATATTTAAATTTTTTTTATAATATTACATTTATTTAAATATTTATGATGATATTATATTTTTACAAAAAAAAATAAATTATTAAATTTATATTTCAAATAATTTTTTATTTGAATAAATTTTGTATTTTATAATATTCATGTAACCAACAAAAAAAACTAAAAATAAAAATAAATTTAAACAAATTTTTAAATTATGAATTTTTTAGATAAAAAATTTTTTTTAAGTTAAAATATTATTWTTATTATATATAAAATTAAGTTGTTAATTTATTTAACTAGTTTATAATTACAATCAATATTAATTATAAACTATAATAT